TTCCCCACGGACGGCGCCAACTATCGGTGCAGAAAGTGACCAACAAGTAAATATTTGTAGTTTTACCGTACGTTGTGATCGGAGGTGGCCTAGCACTCAATGACACAGGGTTTATACTAGTTCAGGCAACGTGCCCTACGTCCAGTTTGAGTTGGTCGGTGACTTTATTCCTGAGCCTAGGTGCTCGAAGTTTGCAATGGGGTTACAAACGAGAAGGAAAAAGATGGGGGTATAAGAGGTTCGGTCGGACTCCGGTCGGAAGGGTCGAGAGTGACGGGAGCCCCACTATGAGCTAAGTGTTTAAGCGTGCGCTCGTGGTTTGAACCTGGCGGTTCTGTGGTTGTGAACTAGTGAACTTGATTGGTCTAATGAATCTGACTGAGCTTAATGAACTTGACGGTTGGGAGAGAGCGCATCCCCTTTTATAGATGAAGGAGATGGCCTTACAGGTGAGAGGGAGAGAGTACATATGCTTCTAAGCCTTGTTGCCCACGCCGGCGGGTACAGGATGATGGTAGGCGCCCACAACACTGTTGGATGTCAGATGCACGTGGGAGGTTGTTTTGTTTTCTTCGGGTATGGCAGACGTTGGCGCCTGCCACACTGTTGATACCTGGAGGCATGCAAGGGGTTTTTACCATGTTTTCCTGGTACGGTAAATGCCGGCGCCCGCAATACTATCGATGTCCAGAGGCATGTGGGGGAAGCCTTACCGTATGAGAGTTAATGGCACCCACAATACTATAGGGAAAAATGTCGACGCCTATAATACTGCTTGGGCTCTGTCGTGCCAGGGAGGTTGCAGAGTACTGTTTCTGCAGGTGTACAGAGTACGGTCCCTGGTATTACGGTTTGACTTGTGCGTCTTGTCTTACTTTCCCCGTTCGTTCCCTGGTCCTTACCGAGCGGGCGTCCCCGGTCGGTTAGTCCCAGTCGGCTCTGAATGCGTCAGTTGGAGAAGAGCAATGAGCAGGGGTTTGGCGCATCCCCGGTCGGAGACGCGGGTCAGAGTCAAAAGTAGTGTTTTGGCCAGGCCTTCCGGTCGGAGGGGCCATCCGGAGGCGGGCTGGAGACCGAAGTGAGCGCTCCGGTCGGAGAGGTGGGTCGGAGTCGGAAACAGGCGTCGTTCCTTCTCGGCCAGGCCTTCCGGTCGGTGATTGGATCGCCCTTCTGGCCTGTCATTTAGATACTTGGGCCGGCCCATGAGTTGCGCGTTGTCTGCTGGGGCCGAGCCTTTGTTGGGAAGCCGGTCCACGAGGGACCCCGGGTTTATGAACCCGACACCTGGTATTTCTAATGGCTAGACGCGAGTTGTCCCAACTCTCCACTACCAATTAGTTAGAAGGAGGTGGGCAAATAATTGGTGGAGAGAAATTTTAGCTCTTTAATATTAGATATAGATCAGATCTGAGCATTTTGCGGGCTGGGCCAAAAAAAGCCCGGTTATTTCGGGCTGAAAAAATCCCGCCCATGACCGAAAAAAGCCAACAGGTCAGGCCTAATTTTTCGGGTCGGGCTCGGGCTGGGCCTGGGCGGGCCACCCGCGCATTTTACAGTGTAAAATAGGTAAAAAAAACTTTGTTTCGGGCTGGGTTCAGGCCAAGAATTTTTTTTTTTTGGGCAGCGGGACATGTGCCCAGGCCCTGTCCAGTATGGTTTGTGGGCGGGCTAAAACCCGCCGGACTCGGACCGGGTCGGGCCAGGCTCAATTTGCTCAGGTACAATATAGATATAGGTGATTATTTTAAATTATCTTTCATAATAAATTAACGATAGAGATAGGTAATTTATATATAATTTTAGGAGTTAATTGAAATTATCTTTCATAATAATAGAGATGAGTATTGTTTAAAAAATTGAGTAGATTTAATGGTTATTATTAGTGATAATGATTAGAGTCCACTAAATTAAAGATCGGATGTTTTTTATTCCTATATATGGGATTTTTTATGACTTACCTTGTTTACTAAACGCGTCTTGTGCTAGTAGTTAGATGGGAGGCGTGCACGTGCTTTCTTTCACAGGACCAAGATGCAGTAACAACCGTGTTTCATCTCATTGCCCTGTGGTGGCATGGTCATCATGAGCATCGAATCAATCAGTACTCCCTACAACCCTGAAAGAACATATTTTTAGACTGAAAATTTGTCTATAAATAAATCAACTTCTAAGCCCTCATCACCCATCAGATCCATTTATATCCTTGATGCTCCAATAGTTGATGTAGTAGCTGCAACAATATTTAATATATTATTGGAAACATTAAAGCTTATTATTTCAACTTCTCGGTAGGTGGTGAATATAGTTAAAGTTAACAAGATTAATAAGAGGTAGCAAGAACTTTTCTCTTGTTTGTTAATTTGTCCTGTAAACTTGTTAGAAATCTATTCTTTTAGGAACTGAGGGCCTGTTTGGTTCCAAATAAGTCGCCTACTTATAAGTTAAAAAGTAAAAAAAAATGACTTATTTTGCCAAACACCACCAACTTATAAGTCACCCCTGCTTATAAGTTTTAAGTTGGTTCACCCCTGCTTAAAACTTATAAGTCACTCTTTTCGCGTGGGGCCCACACTTTTAATGAGCTTATAAGTCATCTACAACTAAACAGACATGACTTATAAGTCATTGGTTTTTAGTCACCTAACTTAATAAGTCACCTGACTTATAAAAACCAAACAGACCCTGAGAGAGTATGTTACCAGAACGCTGCTGAACGAAGACTTTGGTAACTGGTGTGCACAATCAGTACCGGAAAAGACCATGGTGACGGGCGCTTTTGCACCCAAAGGCGACACTGAAAAGGTCAAAACAACCGCAGCGTTTGCTGAGCTCCCTCCCTGGTTCCGTACTAGTTTCCTTCGTCTCTCTTTTCCGGTGAAAAGGTCTGCTTTACCCGGGGCCGGGAGTGGGTGCCCGACGCTCTCGCGGTAGCCCCAAGACTCGGAGACTCCAAAGTCCAAATGCTGCCTGCAGGCTGCAGCAGACACCAGACAGCAGTGAACGAGACGCAAGAATGAAGAGGGGAGTGTACTGGCTCCGGCCGGTGAGTGTCCCCAACCTGACCAGCCATGTGCTCTCGACCTCTCTGATTGCCCACCAGTCAGCAGTAGCAGACTATCAGTAGTACGCAGTGTGATTTGGTAGTTGTATCATGTTCACGTGGCATCCTTTTAAGAGTACTGTTAGTACTCCTACTGTTATGTTGGCAGTAGGCCACGGCCTATTAAGTAAACTGACGAGGCATGCCCATGTTTTGAAGAACAAATGACCGCGCCGGTTGTCGTCCAAGAAAAAACTTTAAAACTGATGGATGCCGGTGAAATCACACACTAGGGGAGACGAGAGTAATTTGTGCCGCGAAAAGAGAGGAGGACGTTTGCAAGACGGGAGTCAGCAATGCACGCATCGGGAGCGCAGCAGAGGTTATGTGACGCAAGGAACGATTTAACGTTAAGGTCATATATATATGATAGCAATGTTGGCAAACTCCCAGCCTCCAGTTCAATACCGTAATACACTAGGGGTACCCTAAGGACGAGTCTCCAAAATAAGCCGTAAATACAAGATTGCAGGCTGCGAAACAAAACAAAAGAAAGCATGGAGGAGATGGAAGTTTTATTCCTTTGTAGACAAAAGGACTAGAGAGGAAGAGATGGGTCTCATCGATGCCATCGGATCCCTAGCATGCTATTGCCCCCCCTGATTTTTCTTACCTAACCTCCATGTTGGTAGAAATCAGAAATCAAGCTATATGAGCTAGTAGATCACTCTAAACACCATAAACGTAGAAGAGCAACCATAATGTATATGGGCTAGACAGTTCATATGGACAGCTTTTGTGCTAGTGAGCTATAGTTATTGTTGTTGCCACAATGTATATAGACTGGGTAGTCTATATGAGAGAGGCAAGGGAGAGAGCTAGCAGAGAGAAAAATTATTTGTTTATTCCTTATGGGCAATCCATAGAACTATGGATATGTTTACTTATGGACTGCTCTATGAACTATCTCTACAATGTTTCAACTAGTTGATAGACAATATTCTAATGTCTATGGAGTACTTTTCTACAACATTGTGGTTGCTCTAAGAGGAGAGACAGTACTCGTGCATACAGTAAAGTTTCTCTGCACCTAGTAAATTTGGTTTTCGTAGCGAATTGTTGCTTAATTATCCCTAAGTCCTCAACCTCATTTTACATAGCTTGCTTCAGTCTCACACAAAGATGATGACAAAAGGTCAAAAGTGATAGCTGAAGCACTCAAATGGGAGCAACGCAACTACTAGCAGTCTAGCAGGCAAAGCATTATGCAGGCCACTCCCTTAGTTTCTAAATATGTATCATTTCCGCTTCTTGAAAAACAACTTTAACTTAATATATATTAAAAATATTAATATTTATGATACATAATTAATATTATTAGAAATATATTTGAATCTAGTTTTTTAATAAATCTATTTACAGACATAGATGTTGCATGTATTTTCTATAAATTGAGTCAAACTTGCGGCATATATACTAACGACGACAGTTATTTAGGGACGGAGGGAATACACCACAGCGGTGGAATAGTCGGCGAGATACAGAGAATGGATAGAGACGCCGGACGCGGGATGGATGGATTATCAGAAGCCGCATACAGCAGTCAGGAACGGATTACAGTACTCGCGCGTACTGTATCTATTTCCTGTGGTCTCCCGCGGGGCCATGCGCCCGTGCCAGCTTTTTTCTGATCCTCCGTTTTTACTCAACAACCTGCCAGCGCCAGTGCCAGTGCCAGGGCTGGCATGTCCTACCGTGCTTTGGCACGGCACGGTACTTCACCTGCTTGGCTGTTTCTTTTGAGCTTGCTTTTAGCGTGCAGTTGAAGGGTGGCGATAGTCACGTTCGGCAGCGCAGATGAGATCAAGTCAGACGCAGGTGTGTACTTGAAGCTGTTAGCATCGTTCTCACCAGGGCCCAGGGTGTCCCAGTTAGTTACTGTTACTGCGAACCTTGGGCATCAACCGTATCCCTGCAGTACCGCCAGCAGGTAGTAGCGGTAGGGGACTGACTGTACCTCAAACTGCACGTGCACGGCGACACGGCAGTTGTAGGCTTGCGGGCACCACAGCTTTTGGAGTAGTAGCAGCAGCAAGGATTCACGGTGGTCACCAACGAGCAACGACGACTGTGCTGTCACGAAAAAAGCCAGGCTACTTGCTCCGTTGCTCGCGCTCGCGCGCGGTCCGGTGCTTGTGCTACAGGTTCATCCTTGTTTGCCGCCTTGCCGGTGCTGCGGCCGCCCTGGCCAGCCGCATTCCCCCGGGGGAAGGATCGCATCCTTATCCTTTTTCGTGGCACGCGCGCCAGCCGTCAGCGGCTGCACCTGTCTCGCGCCCGGCGACGTTGATCCTGCGAGTGCGGTTAGACACTTACAAGTGTCTCCCCCGGAGCCGCCACGCGTGCACCATTGCTGAGACGGCCTCCGCTCGCGACCCAGCAGTCACCGTCAGCACTGCACTTGGGCTTCTGGGGCAAGATCATGCAGTAAAATTCAGTTCCGTGCCCTCCTAGGACGTGGCGCTATTCCACTTCACCAAAATTAATTTTATTTTCTAATAAAAAAACAATTCTATTCTATTTTTCAATATCCTCGGAGCAAACACAGAATAAGAATAGTTAACTTCGACCAAACAAAGGAATAAAACTAAAACATAGTTATAATCATCCCACTCCGCCTTATTTCCAGCCCCTCAGGCCATTTCTAGTGTTAGGTTTCATTATGTTGTTTTCAAATAAAGTGAGGTAGATAAATGAATAAAAAAATATTGCACATATTCATATCACAGTTTCATAGGTTCAAATATTTAAATGATGCATGATGTTATGAAATGGAGTGCTCCCATTGGAGTTTCACCCAGTTTCCAATACGTGCGAATAAAACAAAACACTTTTAGCAGAGTTTCATTTATTTTTCAACGCGTCATTAATAGTGCACGTCGGGTTTCATCCAGACGAAACTCACCTCCTCTCTCTCCTTATACGTCCTGTTCGCTTGGCTTATAAGTTGTACTTTTTCAGCCAACAAACATTATTTTTCTCTCACAACAAATCAGTCAACAGTACTTTCAGCCATGACATATCACCCAAGCGAACATGACAATAATTTCTATGCCGCATCATCATTTTTATGATGTGTCACCTTAATCAATGGGAATGAAACTCTCATTGGGACTGAGCATCTCCAACAATAGTCTCTAGATATAGAGCTCTATTTAGAAATTAATGGGCTCTTTTACATTTCTAGATCTCAATATATGCTACTTCAACAGCAGTCCTCAATTTTGAGGATCTACTTTTTTATGATAAGTGAGACTCTTCGGTCAGCGGCGTGTGTTCTCTTTTTTTTCATCCCATCTTCCCTAACCATATACAGGGGAAGGACTCTTCACGGAGCCGCGAAGGGGATCCATGGTAAGAGTAGCGCTCGAGGCGGGGAGAGGCTCTAAACGAGAGTTTGTAGGGTTGTAGAAGAGGCGTCTGGAGTCGTTGTCATCGCCAAGTTGCATGTTGTCGAGGCACGCACAAAAGGGCGATGAGCTTCTCCAAGGTAGTGCAGTGACTAGTGAACCGGTGTTGCAGAGGGGCGGGTCAACGCACCGCTCGCAAGTGTGGCCGCCATCGTGATGCTTGGATGGGTGCATCACGAGGCTGTTTTCAGTGGAGAGCTTCTTAACGTTGTTTTCAAGAACTTAGAATGAAATGAAATGTGAACATAATCACTCTCAATGCATGGTTTCATTATTTTGTTTCATAAACATTTAATTTTATGACTCATCTGGAATTAGAAACTGAGTCAAGAGAGTTTCATCCATACGAAACTCACCTTTTTCTCCCTTTAAAACATTACCGTGTCACAAAAAAGTGCTTATATAACAATATATTAAATGCAGATAAAATTCTAATATAGCTTAAAGCACTAACGCAATTACAGAAGAAACATGTTGAAGTTGGTCCATTTGTCGTGTAAGAATAGGATGGTGTCCATGGATCTAGGCAAGGAGGCATGTGGTGCATCCCCGGACGATGGATTTCAACGGTTTTTATTTTAGGCCAGTCTTAGTGGGGTTTCATCAGAGTTTTATGGGCATTAAATAGGCTGATGTGGCACCATATTATGAAGAGAGAGATGATAAGAATTTCATGGGAGTAGAGAGAGTTTCATGGAGATGAAACTCTTCTGCACTATTTCTAAAATATGGATGCATTGGTAACAGGGTTATAAAATCCCCACTGAGACTGACCTTACTGCCTCTACAAGTGGGCCTTTACTTTGGCTCTCTTCTCGAAGCTTTTCAGCGACGGTGTTTCTTTTTTTTGGTTTGGGAGTGCTGGCATCCCCTTTTGTCAGTCTTAAGCTTTGTCTTTCTAATACTTGGTTTTTAGAAAAATCAGAAAAAATCTCTCTCCAACAGTTTCTAATTCATCCTCCTAATATTTAGGCACTTGAGAAAACTGAGCCAGTTCCACGTAACTTTACGCTGCTCTTGAATCGCGCGGATCCTTCTCCCGCGCGGTTTCCGTCGTCGTAGTCGCCGTAGTTGATGTGCTCGACGGCGTCAGGCCCGACCAGCTCATGCTCCACGTCCTGGTACAGCAAGCCACCGCAGGCGACGTTGAGCACCTGCAAGCCGCGGCAGATGCCTAGGTAGGGGATGTTGCGCTCCAGGCAGCGGCGCGCGAGGCGGAGCTCGATCGAGTCCTTTTCGTGGTCGATGGCCGCGTCGCTCGGGTGTAGGCGCCGCACGGCCTCCAGCTGCTCCGGCGAGAGCGAGCCGTTGGTGCCGGCGTCGGCGGAGTCGTAGAGGGACGGGTCGATGTCCTCGCCCTCGCAGAGGAGCACGCCATGGATGGGCTCGAACGAGTCCAGCAGCGCGTGCACCCCCGCCACGCACGGCACGATCACCGGCACCGCGCCGTAGCCCACGATGAGGTCCAGGTGGTACTCACCTGATGAGGACACAGACAAACAGCGCACGCATGCGCCATGCAGGGGCGTCGTCAGTTGCATACGAGTACCGTCCAACGAAATCCATGACCATTTGTTCTACTATACAAGGCTAAATTAATGACGAAACCTCTCCGTCTCCGAGATGCCGCCGGCGGCAATCGGAAAGGTAAACTCACCGACGAAGTCGACGAACTTGTTCTTGCGGACAGTGCGGACGGGAGTTGGCGGCAGCGGCAGGGAGGTCGCGACGTGAGGGGTTTGACGTGCCCTGTGATGTCTGGCGACAGAAAAAAAAGCCGCAAAAAATAGATGTGAGACTCAAATTTGTTTTTTAAAAGCAATTTATTAGAAACTCTTGGATATGGCTTTCTTTTTTTCCTCCCAATATCTTTTTAGGAGTTGTAAAACTACAAGTTTTAGGAGGAAAAAAATAGGGAACTCTTGGAGATGCTCTGGTGTTAGGCTGCTAGGTCTTTTTTTTCCTTAGGCAAGAGAATTGCGTATCATTGTATTAAGTAGAATGAGTTTAAAGTTAAAAAAAATGCGGGAAGGATTTGATGTAATTTTTATTTTATTTGCAAGTTTCGTATAGAAAAATGCGGGAAGAATTGCGTATCATTGTACTTGCAAGTTTGGCTGAGACAACTGTGCGCTGGTTCCTTCGCCTATGCACCTTGCAGTTGTATCACCGTTTGATGTCAGCGTTTGTGTCTAGGTTGAGTGAAGTAATACTCCCCCCGTTCTAAATTATAAAATATTTTGGCTTTCTAAATATATGGTCTTTGATATACACTTATACAATATATATTATGTCTAAATATTAGTAAAAATAATGTCTATAAAAGTTAAAACATCGTATAGTTTGAAACGGAGAAAGTAGAGTCTATTTTCATATAAAAAAGGAATAGAATGGTTAGGCTCCAGTAGGCAGGGAGGAAGTATTGGAACATCTTTCAGGTACACTACCAGACTAGAGCTTTTTCCTGTCGGTTTTGTCAAAACCGTCAGGAATCTCAACAGACTCCCAATAGTTCCTGAAAACCGACAGGAGTTGGTCAAAATATTCCTGTCGGTTCTTAGAAGCCCACATCGAGATGTAACTGTCGACGGTCGGTGTACCGGAGAAACGGGGATAGAAAAACAAACTGTTTGAATACATGTATAATATTACTCAAACTTTCTAGCGTGCCTCTCGTCGGTGTACTGCTCAAAACTCAATATCAACTTTCTGGCGTGCCTCTATTTCCAGAGGTTGTTATTCGGTGCAGAGGATACTCAGCTCTCACATTTTCATTTTTATATACAGTGTTCTCTATACTCCGTCTATCTATAAAAAAAATACAGGTATAACATAGTACCAAACTAAAGCTTTTTTTACATTTAACTAATTATAATTAAAATATCAATATTTGTACTATTAAATAAGTTTCATTAGATTTGCCATAAGATTTATTTTTACACTATACTTATTTATTGCTATAGACATTAATATTTTTATTTATATATTTAGTTAAGCTTTAGACACTCCCCTCAGACGGACTCCGCCGACTGTTGCCTCAAGAGCTTCATCAACCGAGTCACGAAGGCGAGGCAGCCGCCACTCTTAGAGCTGCCCGGAGATGACTTGACCCCCGACAGACGTCCACCGCCCGCACTCCTAAAGAGGAGCATGCGAATAGCGGTGCAGAGCCTGTCCCACATCCCGGTGGCTAAGCGAGGCGAGCACCTTGTCATGAAGCGCCTGAGACTAACCAGCGGGATGTCGACTCTGTCCACGTCGGCCATGAAGACGTACGAAGAAACCTATAGAGGTGACCCCGGTCACATGGAGACGCTTCGTGAGTTGTTCCGCCAGACCGCGACGTGGGTGCGCGCAAGCGATGCCGCCGTCGCTCGGCTGCTCGGGCTTAGGTGTCCTAGCCGACGTCTCTTGTTAGGTTGATCGATTCCCAATGTAACACCATAGATTTTAGTAGACTAGGTGGGTCTGAGCGTCCATGTACAATTTTTCTGACCCCCTAGGACGCCACTAAGGCGTGTTGTATTAAATTTTTCCTCTACTTTAATATAAAGACGCGTAAACGTTTTGCGTGATCGATAAAAAAAGCTTTAGACATGTTAATATTGAATATATCTAGAATTTTTTTAACAGAGGTAGTAGGATCGGCCCTAGATGGACAAAAAACCAAACCCAGCCCACGAGCAAATAGCCTCAGGTCGGGCCTTGCACCTGCTAGAAACGAAGTATTCCGTACTTACTATTATAGAAGGGACACGCACCGTCCTAGCTCGATTCCATACATTTTGGTCCATCATTTGAGCTTATCCTCGAATTTAGCTCGAATCGGATGAGCTCAAGTTTTAAATAGACAAATATCACTGCGTGTTTAGGCCAGTGTTAATGTGTTTCATCAAAGTTTTATAGGCATTAAATATACTGATGTGGCACCGTATTAATGAAAAGAGAGATGACAAGAGTTTCATAGGTGTAGAGAGAGTTTTATTGGGATGAAATTCTTCTGCACTGTTTCTAAAATATGGATGTGTTGAAAACCAGGATATAAATCATCCATTGAGACTGGCCTTAGGACTACAATGATTTTATCCACCTAACATGTGCCGAGCTTTGAGTGTTGGATCTTCGTGTAAATACTAGTATATGGTAATGCTACCATTAAGACGTCCGAGAGGCCGGACGTCTCGCTCCACTCACCGCCGTATGCGCCGCTCGTCTAAAAAACAAAATCAACTCCCGCACGTCTCACTCCGCTCCGCTTCGCTCCTACACGTGGCGCTCGGCTCCACTCTCGCATGCGGCGCTCGACCGCCAGCCCTACCAGATGCGGCGCACGGCTGCCCTCTTTTGGTTTCGGCGCACGACTGCCCTCTCCTGGTTTCAGCGCGCGGCTGCCTACGTGTCACGGTGGTGCAGTTGCCGGGCCTGCTAGGCGTGCAGCCGCCTACAAGTCACGGCACTTAGCTACCGGCCCTGCCAGGCGCGGCGTGAGGCCACTGCCTCCCTGCCCTATCGCAAAGCCACCGCCGAGTCGCTGCCAACAAGCACCGCCGGGCTGCTGCCTCCGGCGAACTCCACAGGCAGACGAGCTCCATTCTCCCAAGTAGCAAGAGATGTTTGCGCTGAAACTGCATGTTGCAAGCGTATGTTTCAAGTGTTTCAGAGGTACGTTGCACGTGTTTTCATACGGATGCTGCACAAGTAGATCGGAATATTGCACATGTTGCAGTGGTTACACGTATGTTGCAATATTTTGTTCTCAATGTTTTATCTGTTTTTTCCAACGTATGCTGCATATGTTTTTCACACATATGATGTAAGTGTTTTATCTGGATATTGCGTATGTTTACAATGGTTTCAATTGTTTTCAGGTGTTTTTGCCAGTGTTTTAGACTCATGTTTCAGATGTTTCATTTGTTTTCAGACATATGTTGCATTTGTTGCATCTGGATGTTTCAAAACTAGATCGTATGTTGTATCTTCCTCCTCGCCTTTCTATTATCTCAACTCAGTGTCAGACGCGGGAAGGTGGAGATGGTCTCCACTGGTGCGGGCAGGACCCACGTGCTTGCGGATGGACGCAACAGGCGAGACGTGGATGGGCCGGTGAAGGACACAGGACGGGGGGCAGCGACGCATGCGTCCGGACATCCAGACGCTAGATACGTCCATACTAGTATCTCTACTATGGTATCTCCATTGACCATGGTTCAGATCGAAGTGTAGCAAAATGCAAAATCACTGGCAGACCGAGACATTAATCTGTATAGTTTTAGGCCCTATTTGGTTCTAGGGATTAGAGACTAGAGACTAAAAGAGGACTAAAAGAGGGATTAAATAACATGTTTGGTTTCAGGGACTAAAAGGGACTAAATGTGGTAGAACCGCCTAATCTAATGCCTCTCAGGAGTGCTCGTCTCAAGATTCAAAGCAAGAACCGAAAGGGGAAAACATGATTACATTACATAGCTCAGGGATTACACGAAAGATTACACGACTTCGAATGGTAACCACACGGGGACCTAGAGATACATGGTTAAGAGCAACCTGGTACAACCGAGACTTAATCCAGAAGTCGAGATAGACAAGGACAATGGAGAAACAATAAGATAATGAGTATCCAAAACATGGCGTATGACCAACAGATCCAAAAACAGTCGACTGAGAAGTAAAACATCGTGAATCCTAAGACCAACTATCCAAATGAACTTGAACTTCTTTGACAAAACCGGACCCTTTCTTCTCCTCAGGTTACACCATCACCTCAGATTGACGAACCTAGCTTTACAATGTCGACTGGATTTCGTAACTCTGCTCTGAATGCGAGGGGAATGGGGATGAAGAAGAAGAGCAAGGACCAAGGGCATCTTATATAGGCGAACGGAGGTGGGGAGCAACACACCGGAAGTGGAGACGGTGTGGATGAGGTACACAGATGAGTCATGCCATGGGGATAAACACGACCTTGGTGCGCTCCTTGCACAAGCGAGCGGATGGAAAATAAAAGAGAGGAGATAAGAGAGTGCGCTCGACGAGGGAGGCGTGCAGGCTGTTGTGTCACCAAAAGAAGAAAGAAAGGATAGGGGAGGGGGGGTCCGGTAGGAGGGACGAGGCATGGGAGTCAAGAGCCGACTAGATGCTGAGGGAAAGGAAAAGCGCACAGTGCACATGGATGGCGAGTGCGGCACGATACTGCGGCCACGCGAGAACGGGGTACTAAGGGCCCGATACAGACAGCGTTCGCAAGGCACGTAGCGAAATGACCCAGCACGCATAGCGCGGTCAACTAAACACAGGCTTGAGACATGACATCCACTCAGGCTTTTATAATTACTCCCGACTATCCACGACTAACCTTCTTTACTACTCTTCTTTTTTTTCCTTTACTCGACCACATCCGTCTTTCATGTAGACTGAGACCATGTCATACTTTCTTCCTCCAAAACCACCTCCTCATGTTTACTTAGAGAACACTATTTCATCAATCCGTTGTGGATTTCCCGTTTGAACACCCGAACATTTCCAAGGAATTTATTTTATAGCAAAAGCGGTATGGCGGTGTAACTTGGCAAAGGTACTTGGTTAACAACCTCGATACCAGCGCGTGCCGAGCAGCGTCACCATGTGGCAGCTGTTCCACAGGGAGCCCTCGGTTTCGTCGCGGCACCATAAGCTATTAACCAGGCAACTACTACCAACTTACACGCCATGAAGGCGGTGGGGTCATAGACCACAGAATAAGGGGAGTATTGCAAGGAAAGATTCAAACAACAAGGGTTCCCTTCACAACAAGGGACAAGGAATTCAAATCCAATGGCGGATTTGTTTTAAAGAGATTCAAGTGTTCTGCTGGGACATCCACAAGTAGTCAATACAGTGTCCTATGTTCCAATCATGGTTGATCTGCTGGCATCTAAATAGTAACCTCTCTTGTAACCTACTTAATATCACCTTTGAAAACCTTAAGCACGTCTAACGGGACCTAAAGTAGATGGACGCAATAAACACAGTGAAATAAACAAGATGCACATTCCAACGGTCTTATATGGGTACATCATACAGGCATCCAGGCTCCCATTCACGACACAACATTCACCTTCCCTACTAGCGGACGATCTCAACAACTACAGACCAACAACAATGGCAAGAGTACAATACCGGAGAACAGCCACAACAAGTACTACTACTACGGGTACAACATCTCAAGGCAACTAATCTACACTGGAACCATGCATCTTCATTCCCGGGCTCGGCGGATTCTTCTACTTCCTTGGCTATGGATTTGCATCTTCTCGTGGCAATGGCTGAGTGAGAGGAACCAAGGGTTTTGCTTCTAACACTTCCGAAGGTGGAGGTGCTGGTGGTTCTGCATCACCGGTTCTCCTTCTTTCAGGCGGGTGGATAGGGATCCCCTCTAAGATCAGGGCATCCACCAGCGTCCTCCGCTTGGCCCTAGTGAACAGATAGGCCTCACCCAACTGATGGACATGCTGATCTTCCGCCTCCTTCAGGGCTTCTGACATGGCAGTCTTTTGACTCTCAGCAGCTGTAGCAATAGCATGCGCTTCGATGAGCTGCACCTGGAGCATCCGGTTGAAGATCTTGGCTTCCTCAGTGCGCTGAAGGCACACCCTCAGCTCCAAGGCCTACCGGTCATACTGCTCATCCAGAGCAAGCAGGTACGTGCTCAAGTGCACCACGGTAGGACTATCCTCTTGCGCATCCATACCCGCTGATTCCTGTCCAAAGGTGGAAAGAACCTCATGGGGGTACGAGCAATGGGCTCTTCATAGATCTGGCAGAGGTACCGCAAGGCTTTGCGGGCCACAACCTGGTAGGTGTCGATGAAGCTAAACCCGGTTGCGGTTGTAACACCCTAGGTGTTTGGCTTCTACAAAAGTGCATTCCATTTCATAAACATATGCATCATCCATGTCACCATGCCATTATCACTGAGACATACATATGCAACATTCGCATATTCTGTTTGTTTCGTACTTTATTGCTTATGATTGGTAGTAGTGCAACATGTGAATGTAACATGAGTTTCTCATACCTTTAAACATGGCAACATGGTAGGAATGTGGCAAGTTAAGCTTGCAACAAAAGTAATGCGACATGTGAAACATGGAATTGCAACAATTGAGTGAATTGATTGTTTTATGCTTCATCACATGTGATCATTAGAAATTAGTATAACAATTGTGTAAAGTGGTTGATCATGGTCTAATACACCTTAACTACACTTAGGGTAATTGTTTGGACATTGTTCATATAGATCAAAATGACAAAATTGCCCTCAAGTGGAAGTTTGACTGGAATGGACCCTTAGAGTGCCACAGTTTGACTGATTTAAAAGACCAACTTAGAGACTTTGCGTGGCTGTGCACTCTTTACCAAAGTTGTAGCTAATTTATCAAGGAACAAAAGTTGTTTTATGATCATCTCATGAAAATGGCTAGAACATGCTCAAACATGGCCCACAAGTCAGAATTTCATGCTGATTTCATACTCAGAAATTTTCTAAGTCCTTAAGTGTTTTGCAGTTTCGTGTACCCAACTTTTTCACCTTGTATCTCCCTAACAAAGCCAAACCAGCTAGAGCTCCAATGATAAGAGTTGTAGTTCACATATAGATGATCAACTTTGTTAACTATGGCATGATCTAAATCATCATGGATTAGGAGCTAATCACCGTCAAACTTGCTCTGTCAGTCACCGTCGGTGATCTCTGAATCGTAATTTTCTGAAAAACCGCCATGGCTGACCGATGCAGGAGCCTCTCGC